ACGTACCATGTGTCTTTAAGATACGCATAATGCTCACTTTGCCATTTTGATTTTGTGGTTTTTACCGAGTAAGTCGTGGATAATTAGGCCGCCTGGTCCTTCTCGGCTCCCCTTATGCGCTGACGATAGCTTGAGCGGTATTAATGAGCAGGTGTGCTGGCCGAGAGGCGAAGTAATACATGACATAATAGGGATCATCACCGAGATTTTTGGACTGTGCGCCCTCTAAGCACGGCTTGCTCGGTCTTATGGTTGACCCCGTGAAGGTGTGAGCTGTAATTTTGCGCTGACAGGATAAGTGTGAAGAAAGATATGGGTTACAGTGGTACGTGGGACGAGTGACAAAAGTGTGGACTGTAAAAATGGAGCAAAAATTGTAGAGAAAAGCTGTAGCAAAAATGTACGTGAAAGTAACAAAACCTAGGTTTTGTAATGAAATGAAAGTGAAATCAAAAGTAGGTTACGGTAAATGGGAAAAAACATGTTGAGCATCAGTTGCTGGCATGTATTGTTTGTAAATGTAGTCGGCCATTTCTAAATCAGATCAGAAAATGCATCCGAGCTTCTTCTTTCTGTAATGCTGAATTGCTGAACCTGAAAGCAAATTTTACAAGGCGTACTAGAAAAATGAAATGTGGTGTGTTTTCCGAAGGAAGCCAACCTGCAATGGGATGAACGCATCAGTGCTCGAGCTTTGGACGTTTATGAGATGGTCCTTGCTTTGTTCGTTCCGCGCAGAGAATAACATGGTGAGTGCCTCCACAGGAACGACACTTGTTCGAACACTGCCCGTGTGCAGGGGGCCAAGCACGGAGAATGCACTTGTTGAGGTCTCGTAGACGGAATGATCTGGAGATAGTGTCGGGGAATACCGAACAGATTGAGGATCTATGGCCATCCTCATTGTCAGCTTCGCAGAAAATACACTGATGGCGAGGAGCAGTGTTGGTAATTAGGGTGTCGATCTTAGTTTCGAGGCGAAACACTTTGTTCTTGATTAACTTGAGCAAATTCAAGGTAAGACGAGTGGAGACCTCAAAGGTATCGGGGTGGTTGGCTGCCGCCAGGCCTGGCGTGTCTGCAGGTGCGTCTTCTTTGTTGGTTGGATCGGGCACCGCAGCTGGCAGCTTCGGCATGATTGCGAGGAGAACGGTCGTGGACTAACATTTAGGAACGAAACGAGATTGCTGTGTTTCTGTTTTTTTTTGACATGCGCTGGCATGGAGCCAAGAGCGAGGGTGTTGACTGTTAGTCATTACGGTATCGGCGCAGAAGAGAGAATAGACTTCTGAGACATGCGAAGAGCGTCTCTGCCATCGTGAAGACAAGCGAGGCGAGTAGCTTAACAATGGTGATTATGACTGCTGGTCCGAGGAAATATGTGAGCAGTCCGATTACTGTGAAGCTAGTGATAACTGCGACGGTTGTTTTCCAGTGTTTGGTAATTGTGGCCGCAAGGGGACCTATGTCTGGCAACGAAATGTTGCTCCACCAGGCTGTGTTACTTGCGGTTGTTTGTTTACCGTCGGCGAATATTTCGTGGTCTAGCGTGGGCGTATGGTATAAAAGCGTGCCTGTCAAAGTGATCTCGGAGAGTTTTCCTGCGCTTTGATATGAGCATACATCTTTTACATTTGCATGATCGTATTGCAGCATTA